ACATATGCCACCAAAATTATAGAGCTGTGAAATCGAAAGAAACTGTTTTTACCTTCACATTTGAAAAAAAAATTGCACTTAAAGAACAAAATCAGTTCTATGTAGGCACATGTATGTAAATAAACAGAAATAAACAAGTCTGTAAGCAGTTTCCTTTGAGTAGGGAAATAGAGTAGTTGTACTTCCAATTTTTACTTTCTACAATTAGATATTGTTAAGATCCTTTACAATAAAATTACATTTAAAAAGGGAATCCATATAATTCTTAAAGCTTTAGAGAAAAGAAAATAATATGGTTTTCTTTAATTTTTTTCACAGATACATTCTGGTGATTTGATTTGAGATAATTTCATCTCACACAGTTTAAGGTCATTTCTTGTGTGCGATTTTCAAAGAAGGTGGGGAAAAGCCTAGAATCTTTTACAGAAATAATTTTCAAATATTTGTTTTTAAAGTAAAAAAATTCATCAAATGATATATTATCTTAAATTCAACAAGTGGAACAGATAAAGTTGGAGCTGCAGGATTCTTGCTGGTTCACTCCTTGTTCTCTTGGCAAGTGAAGCATACTTTGAAAACCACTTCTATAAATATGCTTGCTCATAAAGGAGGTATTTGTTAAATGAGTGTTATATTTTTAGTTTATTTTACCAATATAAATGTTTAATAATGCCTTCCATAATATTCTAGAAGATATAAAGGAATAATCAGCTTGCAAATGTGTGTAGGGTCTCAGGCAAGTAAAATATACTTTTTGCTGTCAATTCAATTATGACTGACAGATTGCTGCAGGATAAAGACAGGTTACTCTTTGTTATTTCTTGTCATATGGATAGGATGACATTTGAGGGGTAATCTTACCAAGCACTTACATATATTGCTTGCTATTGTTTGAATGTGTGTGTCCCTCCAAAGTTCATGTTGGAAATTAACCCTCAAGGGACAGTGAAGAGATGGGGCCTTTTGGCAAGTAAGTCATGAGCATTTCACCCTCATGAATGGGACTAGTGTTCTTATGTTATGGTTTAGATATGTGGTATCCCCCCAAAGTTCATATGTGGGACAATGCAAGAATTTTCAGAGGTGAAATGGTTAGATTGAAAGGTGTAACCCTATCAGTGGATTAATACACTGGATTTACACTGGGCAGTAACTGTAGGCAGGTAGGGAGTGGCTACAGGAAGTAGGTCACTTGGATTGTGCCTTTGGGGTATATAGTTTGTCCCTGGTGAGTGGAGCATTCTCTCTCTCTCTCTCTCTCTCTCTCTCTCTCTCTCTCTCTCTCTCTCTCTCTCTCTCTCTCTCTCCTTCCTGGTTGCTATGTCCTGTGTAGGACCACCATGATGTTCTGTGTCACCTCAGGCCCAGAGCTATGGAGTTAGCCAACCATGGACTTGAAACTGTGAGCTGAAATAAACTTTTCCTCTTCTACATTGCTCTCATCATTTATTTTGGTCACAATGATGAAAAAGCTGACTAAAACATCTTATAAAAGAGTTTGAAAAGAGCAGTGTAGTGCCTTTTGCTCTTCCCCTTCGGCCAGTGTTCATCCCTTCCTCCCTGTGAGGATGCATCAAGAAAGCACCATCTTGCAAACCCCTACCAGACACGAAACCTGTAGGCACCATGATCTTGGAATTTCCAGCCTCAAGAACTGTGAGCAATACATTTCTATTACTGTATTTGTGAATTATACAATTCGTGATATTTTACCAGAGCAACAGGAATGGACTAAGGCATTGGTGGAATACTCTGTGTAGTATATTCATGCATTTAAAAGAGCATCACTATGATCGGTCATTGAATATTATCTAATGGTCACAATAATAACAATCTCCCACCTGCGGGGTTTACCCATTCGTGTGTTGAAAGCATGGGTTCTCAGGCTCATACAGGATTTCTACATGAACAAACATTGCAGTTTCTGGACTTTGCTTAACTCAGGTCAATGCTCTCAAAAGGAGTCCTACTCAGCAGTGAGGAATTCACAGGCCACAGAGGAGGGCTTAAAACTTTCCTTGACAATTATTGAAATGACGAAGAATGTTTTCCTGAATGAGAATGACCTTATCTAAAAGCTTCAGGTGTGTCAACCACAGCATTGCCAAAGGAATACAACCACTATGCTATTTACTTAATTAATCTATTGCTTTGGTTGGCTCTTCTTGAAGAAAAACACTGTATAATGAAATATGAATCCAGTGCAACTATCCCAAGGTAAGAAGGGGCCCAGTAATTGCTTTTCTTCCTATTTTGTCTCCCCATAAAGAGCAATGTAATTTTTTGAAAGTATAAAATATTACTTTTAGGTCTACTGAAGTAAAAATCTCCAAAGATTTAATCTGCGGAAGTGTAGAAGACATAACTTAATGCCTACCTAAAAACTACGTGTTCAGGTTTGACAGTATGTCCCTTCCTTGGCTTTGGTGATAAAATCAGTATTGACCTAAATCAACCTCTGTAACAACATTCCTCTTTGCCAGTTGTTGATTTAGGGCTAAGCTTGATTCATTTTTTGCTAGTGGAATTTATAGGCAAAGCTACTGGGGGTCAATGGTAAGATTTTCCTTCTTAATAAAAAGAAAAGGAAAAAATCTCTCCTTTTGTTATTAAATACATATGTGTGGCGAGGTTGGGAAGTTTGGGTTATGGATGAGGACTGCATTTCTTTGAACTCTAGCAACTATTATTGATTAATAAAAAAAAATGAGAATTAGCTAATCATAGAAAGCAACCAAGGGCTATGACACCATTGAATTTTTAAACAAACCTTGGACACTCTACGGTTTGGATATAAGTTGTCCCCCAAAACTCCCATGTTAATGCAGGAATGGTCAGAGGTGAAATGATTAGACTATGAGAACTGTACCTACCCTAATTAGTCCATCCTAATTTGAATGGTAACTATAGAAAGGTGAGGTATAGTTGGAGGAGGTGGGTCACTGGGTGCTTTTCCCATGGCCCATTTTCCTCTCTCTGTGCGTCCTGGCCACCGTGAATTCCTCAGCACTCTTTCACCATACACTTCTGCCATGATGTTCTGCCTCATCTTGGGGCCAGAGCGATGGAGTCAGCCCACCATGAATTAAACCTTTGGAACTATGAACCAAAATAAACTTTTCCTTCTATAAGCTGTTCTTGTTGGGCACTTTGTTAACAGCAATGAAAAAAAGCTAACACAGACCCACTCACCTCCAGACATCTTGTGTGAGAAAAGTAAATTTTTATTTTTTAAGGGACTTTTGGCCAAAAGTCCTGTCACTACAGCCAAAGTCAAAGTAGTACAAAAGGTGATTTTGATTCAAAAGCAACTCTAAGATACTCTGATCAGAGGCAGCAATGAGGAGCTTTTAGCTTAACACATTGCAAAATCTTCTTAAAGGATGACTGATTAGAACACTGCCTTTGCATTGTTACTTCTAAAAACTGCAGGAAATAACATTTCAGGGACTAAAAAAACAATTTCAAAGTTTTTAGTCAATAGAAATTATATCAACTGTAATATTATATATAGTTTTTATATATAGTTTTTCCCTCCTTCATTCCCAAAGTCCAATTGTAATATTTGAATACTGAATGAAAAAAGTTGGGCATGTAAATATTTGGTTATTTTTAAATGCCTATTCCTGAAACAACAAAAACAATGTTTCATTTCTTACTTTAACTACTTGTAAGTTTCATTTCATTTCTTGCTTTAACTATAACTTGTAAAATTCTAGTGGTCATTCAAAATCTAACTCAAATGTCATCTTCTCAAATAGTATTTCCTAACTTTGCAAAAACAGACTCCTTTTAAAACATATATTTATTTATTTATTGTACTGGAGATTGAACCCTAGGGCCCAGGGCATGGTAGTTAAGTGTGTTATCACTGAGCCACATGCTTAGCCCTTTCTATTTTAAGTTGCTCAGGCTGACCTTGAACTTGATGATCCTCCTGCCTCAGCCTCCTGAATAGCTGGGTTTACAGGCTTATGCTACTGCCTCTGGCTGACAAATGCCCTCCTGTTTTCTCTGAGAACTTATTCATTCATTTAACAAACATTTATTAAGCTTTGGTTATTTCTAGCTCTTCTTCTGGTAATGCAGAAGTGAAAAGCCTTACATAGTTCCTATACTCAGAGCTTACAATATAGATAAATCCTTAGCAACCAACATGAAGTGTGGCAAGTTTCTGTTTTAGGCATATTAGCTAGCATATGTTAACAACCAATGAAGTTAATTAAACTTTTACTGGGTTTGTATGGTGTGTAAGGCACAAGAGATATAAAAATGAATAAAATACCGTCTCTGTTTTTTAAGGGAGGGACAGAAACTGATAATGTGTTCAACAAACTAGTTTCCTTTGCTGCCTGGGCAGAGTCAACATTTCCCAGTCTGCCTTATAGGTTTGTGTGGCATGTGACCTGTAGACTGGCCAGTGGGATGTGGGCATAAAATAATGTGCTATTTCTAGGATTCATCCAGAAGAAGCCTTCATGAAATTCTCCATATCCCCCTCTCTTTCCCATTTTCTGAAACTAAGGACTCTTAAGTGCTTAGGAGATAGCAAAGCCATAATATAAAAGAATCTTGACTTCCAGAATCACTGAATAGAAGTCTACCAGCTGAACTCCTGCTTGGACTTTACTTGCATGAGAAATAAACTTTTGCTGTGTTTGGTTACTGAGATTTTGGAGTTCTTCTGTTATAGCAGCTGGTGTTGCCTTATGTACTTTAATTGGATGTAAAAAGTGCAGAGGGGAGAGGGTATTGCTGTGCTTGGCTGGGGGTGGATGCATCAGGATATGTGGGAAACAAGCCTTAGAAAATAACTTGGTCATGTAAAGAAATCATAGAAGACCATTCCAGGCAGAGAAACCATATGAGCAAAGAATAAAATATGAATAGAAAGGTGCATATAGGGAATTCTATGTATATCTGTATTAATTAGAACACAGAAATGTTTGTGATCTGAGCAGTCAGAAGAAAACGCTAAGTATACATTCTTGGGCTATTACCTCCTAGTCAGGTTAGCTTAGGCAAATTCATAAATCAGTCTGGACAAGTTTCTTCTTGTTTAAGATGGAGACAATGCCTATGTCTCCCAAATCCTAAAACAGTGTACTTCATTGAGTCCATAGAGATGCCTTCTGCTCCTCTGTCTTCTTTTAATGAAATATCCTTTGAGAAGGAAGCCACCCATGCACATGGTACACTGAAGAGCACAGATAAGGGACACTGGTAAATTCAAACTTCACAGAAGACACACACACACACACACAAAAACAAATTAGAGAATTGATTTTTTAAAAGATAAAGAGCTTTCATTATGTTTGTTAGAACAAAGAGACAGGGCTGGGTGCAAACTTCAAAAATCAGCTCAGCCTTTGATCAGGAACCAGACTACACCTACGGGAATGGACCCATTTTCCTGGTGGAAAATGAGCCACCAAACAAAGGAGGGGACTGGGCTTATATAGGTTGTGAGTGATGTAGTGAGCATGCCAGTCTGGGCACTCAGGAATTTGAGTCCTTGAGTTAGGGATTGGTGGCCAGCACCTGGAGAGGTACTGTCTTGAAAGAGATTAGTATTTCCTAGAGACTATCACTTCTAGGTTGGATGAGACACTGTCTCCCCTCCTGTGGCCAGTACCTGGGAAGGACTTATCTTGGGAGAGAAAAAAGTCATCATTGTATGACTTTCCTTTCTATTTCTTTCTCCCCGGTCTCACTATTTTGGGGTGTTTTGTTTTCCATATCCAATAAGGTTGGCAAGACATAGTTAATAACTTTAAAAGGTTATTAAAAACACTCCAGAACTTATCATAATTGTGGCTTCCTTAGCACAGATGACACATGACTAAAATACTGAGAGCACTCCCTCATTATATGATTGCATACGCAGGCTACTCCACTTCCCTGGTATGGTATTACCAAGCTGTGTGTAAAAAAATTGTAAATCTTTTTTTTTCCTTCAGAAGAAAAATGTGTTCTGTCGCTAGGATTTTATGCTGACCAAGAATCAGAAACACACTAATAGGACTAATAAATATTTGGCCATGAACCAGATAGTCAATAATCTCTTGTATTCTGTAAATATTTTCAAATGAAGAAATGTTTCACATTATACTTGTAAAGCAAGAGACTTTCAAGGGTCTGTGGGTAACAAATAAATGACTTCAGGAGCCAGGCAGGTAATAAGTAATGTGGAATCTGTGGCATCATCTGGAGTGGGTCAAGCCCAACTGAAGACATTCAAATCACCACAGGCCTCTGGAGCTAATCCCATGTTTTTACCTCCCATCTAAAGAAACTGAGATTAGGGTTAGGTGACTCTCAGAGTACATATAGTAAGCACAGTAATCAGAGTCAATGCAGAAGACAGAAACCACTCCAGATATTTAAGGCAGAAAGAGATTGTACACAGAGAACTGGGTGTTCATGAGATTGTGAAAGGGCTAAAAGTGCAGGGTCTAGGCTGGATCCCCAAGAATTACTTCTACAACACTAGTAACTGAACCATTAAGGAATTTTGCCATAATCAAGAAGCTACACAGGGCCTCTGGAGTTCAAGAACACCACTAAAGTTGTGACCCAGATATGCTGGGATCTAGAAACTATCTGGACAGGAAACACAGAATATACTTGCCACTTCCCTCAACTGCCCCTTAACAGCCACAGGGCTGATGATTCAACACAGTGACACTGAGTCTGAGTGTCTCAGCTGCTCTAAGTGCCTCTCAACACCCACAATTCTGAAGACAGGACACTGGCATCTCCTGCACTTTTTTGCCAGAAGAAAACAGCTACAGGGGCTGGGGTTGTGGCTCAGAGGCAGAGTACTTGCCTCACATGTGTGAGGCACTGGGTTCAATCCTCAGCACCACATACAAATAAATAAATAAGGATATTGTGTCCATCTACAACTAAAAAAAAATATTAAAAAGAAAACAGCTGCAAATAACAGGAAGGTGGCCTTTACCTCACCCTCTCCTTGCTTTAGAAACATCAGGCAAGTTTACTTGCCAGACCCTAATTTTTATCCAGAACTCTATCTCAAAGGAAGTCTGGGGGAATGTTTCTTAGCTTTTTCAGGTTCTGCTGTACAAGAAGGCAAAAGCAAACAGGAATGGACAAGTGCCACCTTTCACATTCACCTAGCAACTGCAGCTACAGGCCCTAGGACTTAGATCTGGATCACTAATTCTATTCTTCTTATCCTATAATTACCTTTTATTGAAGTCCTAAAAAATGATGAAAATGTATCAACAGGGTTATTATCCTACAAACCTTCAAATACTAGAATATATGCCAGTTTGGCACAGAGAAGACACACAGGTATTTGCTGAATAGCTGTTTCATTCCTGACTTTGAGAGAAACAGTAAACTAGAATTCCACCAGAGTACTGCGTAGCAGCAATAACTGTCAAGTGGAGGCCCATTAGGGAGGGGTGAGAAAATGGAGTTGACTTGGCAAAGGCATCTGCTCTGTGTCTGCTAGTGGTATAGATTTCTTGTTAGGAAGCTAAAGGAACGGGAGGATTCCTGCCACTAATCTTTTGGTGCAACAAATCACAGCAGAGTCTAGGGTGACATAACAAGGGTGTGATGATAAGCTGATACCTAATAAACAAAAGGCCACAGCTTCCACCGGCTTTGAGCAGGTCCAGGCAATGGGATCTGATGATGCTTAGCGCGTTGAGAGTGCTAACCTACTCCACCAGAAGCAACACCCTCTGGTTGATTTGACAACTAAAAAACAATGAGGAAAATCCCACTACACACACACACACACACACACACACACACCCCACAACCGGAAAGAGTTGGGCGCTCACTCCGGATCGCGGGCTCCGCTAGAGCTACACGAATCACATGGCGGAGAGGGTTTGTTTGCCCTCGGTATTCTCCCCTGCTACTCACTCCGCAGGCTGTGATGCAGGTGACCCCGCTTCGCCGGGCGCGTTAGGAATTGAGCATCTGGGCGGCGGCGGCGGTCGGGGGCCCAGTCTAAGCAGCGGGCACTGGGTGTCGCGGGCGCACGGCCCCAGGTAGCCCCACGGGCACTGCTGCAGATAACCAATCCTGGGGCTGATTACCCGCAGCCCCGCCTTTCCCACACACCCACGCCCAGCGGTACAGCCGGAGAAGGTCTGCCCAGCGCTCGGGTGGAGGCTCAGGAGCAAGCCTGGGGGGTTCGCCCGCCGCCTCCCGGCGCGCCTAGAGGGATTTCGGGTTGGCAGCGCGTGGCTCCGCCCCCCGCCCGTGGCAGGAGGCCCTCCTCCAGCCCTGGGACCTGGGAGTCTCAGCGTGCGGCCTTTCAGTCGCTTGTTCTTAAGAAAGTGTGCGAGTTCTACCGCCCCCTGGAGCCCGGACACAGCGCGCGTTTCCCCAGGGGAGCTCCTAGGAAGGGTCGGCAGCGTGCGTGCGCCCCCAAGCGCAGCGCGGTTTCTTGCAGGAGCCTGGAATGCGGGACACGCAGTCCTTTGCGTGCTTATGGTTCCCTGAACCAACTTCTAAATTCTGTATTTCGACTCCACTGTGTAGTTGTACTATTCAGAAATGTCTTCTTGAGTCAGTGGGAAAACAAGATTTTTTTTCTTTAGATGACAAAAAGAAAAGTCTTGTAGCGTTCATCGTTTCTTTAACCCGTGCCCTATTGCTGTATTGATTCAGATTTTAACCCTTCCACCAACATTTTGGTTCTTTTTGATTTTCACTCCCATTTTCGTGGCTTCTTTTCCTTCATATTCTCCTCTCCTACATTCATGCGGGCGCGCGCACATGCCCTGTTTTTGGTGTGTATGTGCCTTACCTGTCTTTTCACTCCTTTATACAAGTGCCAATTTTAATCCTGCCTTCAGGCAAGAAGGTCTGTCTTCAAGTAAATATCTCCACCAGACATAAGTCATTCACTGTATCTCAGATCCTTCCTTGTGATGAACCTCAGGTCCATCCAATATTCCTCCTCAGAGTATCTAAAATGATTCTTTTCCTAAACTGAACTGTACCTTTTCTAAGCTTGAAAAAAATTTCTGGTCACATCAGGCTTCCTCTTATCACAGAATTGAAAGTGTTTTTCCCCCTTTTCTTTCAGTCATATGATCTTCATTGTACATCACCTAATTTGATTAACATGACTTAGGAGAACATTGAATTTGGGGGTTAGGCTTCACTTTTTCATTGCTTGTTATGTTTACAATCATGTTAAAATCAATTTTGTAGAACTCGTGTGTTGATTTGAATTCATTAATGTAAATCTATAAGAAACTGATGGACTCCATTTTTGAGAAACCAGCTTCTCTCAAGGCCTGTCCAGAGGGAGGGGGCATGACCCTGGTCCTTGGAAAAACCCCCAGAGCCCTCCTAGGCACAAACCCATCTGCTAAGTTGTTTAACAGGAGAGATCTGAGGTGCCTGGTGTCCCTGACTCAGTTATGCTAGGTGAGGACCTATAGCAACCCCCTAGCAACCACCAATCAGAGTGAGACAGCAAAATATCTGAAATGCCAGGTGACCCTCCTCGTAGGTTAGGTGATTGATAACATGTTTAGGCCACCGTGCAAGTTTAGCTTATATACTCTTATAACCCCTCACAGCCTAAACCAATCAGTTCAAATGTATCCACCACTTGAACTAACCAATCACCCTTACCCAACTTGTTTTTGCCAGTGAATGTGCTGATCAATGTTAAGAGTTGTTTGATTTTCCTGCGGTATGAAATGATTTGCTGTGTGATGTTGTGATGCATGGAGTATCCCCCCCAAATCTATAAATCCTCACTGAACTAAGGGTTGGGGCTCACTCTTCAGGACCACTGCGTCGAAAATGGTTGTGAGTCCAGGCTCAAGGTAGCAATAAAGACTCTTTTGTGATTGCATTAGATTCGACTCCTGGAGGTCTATTGGGATCCCATGAATCTGGCATTACTGCTATACATGTAAGACCTACTCCTGCATAAAGTATTTCATAATATTCTTAGAAACTTCAGTGTTCCATTAACTGATGAGCCCAACTCTGGAATTTCATAAAGTAGAAACTAAAATCCAATATAAACTGGGTGACTTGGTCTAGGCCACAAAAAGCCTTTGCTATCTACCTGTGGAATACTTGATCTGGAACCCCAGAGCAAACATAGTCAGTGAGCTCATTCACAAAACTACTTAAAATATCCTTTGTTGTGCATTCCAACCCAGTTTCATCAACTACATAATATTCTTCTCCATCCATAAAGTGTTATCCTTTAATTGTCCATTTTGAAATTTTCCTTGCTAATTAAGGTCCTAGAGAAAAGTCTAAGAATAAACTGCTCATTTATTGAATAGCTAGGTATTGGTGATCCTACCACTTGGTCTTTGGAGGTCTTTACAACAAATAAACAACAAGCATAAAATCCTAAAACTGAAAACAAACCTTCTAAAATGTTGTAGAGTTATCATTTGTACATTTATTTAAACTTTTTTTCAAAATTTTTATTAACTTTGTTTCCCATTAAGTAAATCCTTATTTGTCTAAAGATTATTTCCAAATTTCATATCCTCTTGTCAGTTATCCTGGAATTTGGTGACAAAAATCTTGACTCAATAAACCAAAACCAAGAAAAAAAAAAAAAACTCTCAAACTCACAATATTGACAATTAATTAACTGTATATTTCTTAGGCCCTTGTTAAATATAATTGCTCATTTTAATACAAATTGTTTAGACTAATAATACCAAATTAGTGATAATATCTGTGAGGATGGCCTTAGGCCTGAGCCTAAGCAACTCCATTTTAAAAACTCCAGTTCTAAAACTCCAGTCTAGGAGTTTTCTAGAAACTCTAATGGAGTTAAAACTAGGCACACCTAATAGATCCTTCCAGTATGCCTCAAACAAGTTACTTCTCCTCACCCTGATAAACAGAGTGAAGCCTCTGCCAGGCTGTCCTTGTCTGATAAGAGGGAAAGGCGAGAAGATCAGGGTGGAGACCACCAGACCAGATGTTTCTGACCCCGGGGTAAATGATGTTACTGAGAAATCCAGTGGTAGCTGGTAAGGATTGAAAACGGGGTCAAAAGCCCCAAAATTTAGTATAAATAATAGAGCAAATGAACAGGGATCCAGCCAGCCACAACAAGGATGCACTGGAGTTGGAGAGCCTGATGAGGACCTGACATCCTATCACTTGTCATCATTTTCCTGATCCTCTGCGTGATCCTTACAACTCTCAAATTCTACCCTCATCTGGACCTTGGTGAGAGCAGCAACTTCTCCCTAGGATCCTCTCCTTAACTACTCCATGCTAGGAGAAGCCTGCCTTTGTTCCGGAACTGATCACCATGGTCTAAGTGAGTGTGCATCTGCTGGACATAAAGCCAAAAACTTAAGACTTTTGAACTTTGCATTTAGAGGGAATGTCTGTCATTAGCCTGTCATGATTAAGTGTGTTTTGCAGTGCTTAGAATTAACCTAGAATTGTTTGCTGCAAATGAATTAATCTAGAATTGTTTGCTATGAATTGATTATGTATATCGCAGTGCCTAGCATTAAGGACTGTCATTTTCTTGATTAAGAAACTATAGATGTGGTATAAAGGTATATTAAGAATTGTAATGCAAATAATAATAATAATAATGTGAAAAAAAGAACCTATAGAGTGAAATTGTATTGAGTAATTTGAGTGAATAAAGCATTGAAAGGGGCAGAAACATGTGGACACTTTTTATTTCTCCTCTTGATTGCATATGTTGCAATTTTGCCCCCTCGTGACTGTAGGAACGGTGGAAAAAGCTCCATAAACTCAACAAGCCAAAACAACTGTTTACCTGTCTGAGATTTTATTAGCAGGACCATAACAGGCAGTCACAGAAGAGAAGGTGGAGGTGGGGGTGGGAGAGAGAGGGAGAGAGAGAGGGAGAGAGAGAGGAAGAGGAAAAGGGAGAGGGAGAGAGGGAGAGGGAGGGGGAGAGGGAGGGGGAGAGAGGGAGATGGAGGGGGAGATGGAGGGGGAGAGAGGGAGGGGGAGAGAGGGAGAGGGAGAGGGAAAGAGGGAGAGGGAGAAGGAGAGAGGGAGAGGGGGAGGGAGAGGGAGAGGGAGAGGGAGAGGGAGAGAGGGAGAGGGAGAGAGGATGAACAGGGTGTTGAAATTTATGGGCTTAATGCAGGATGAGGAGGAGCAAGGCAAGTGGGTTGTTACTTCTTCATTGGCCGAGAGTTTGTGCCACTTCAGGGATTGGAGGTACACCATTCAAAGTTCGCACCATTCACAGGGATTGGAGGTGATGGTTCACTGGCCATTCAGTGCGTCATGGACCTAAGCTCCCGGAAGAGAAGCTCTCCGGGTGCCATCTTTACCAACATTCCTCCCTTTTTTTGTTTTGGTTTGGGGGCACCGTACTTGATCTGGCTACTTCCTGCTGAGTAGGGGCATCATTTAGAGGGAGGGAGGGAGGTCAGTTGGTTGGAGAAGGAGGGCCAGGAGGTCCCATATCCATGCACTGAAGGCATGGATTTCCTCCAGGGAGAAGTCCATGAATGTGCCCTGCAGCTATGAAGAGACAGCATTAATCTCTGGCCTGTCGTCCAGTCTGTAGGGCTGGTAGAAAAAGGCCTATGCCCAGGAGAAGGCAGGTTAGAACATATAAAGCTGAAAACCAAGGGCTTATTTCTTTGGCATGGTGGGGTAGAGATGGCCCTTCGGTCGAGTCGTCATTCGGTATCTTCATCTTTTAGCACTTGGTGGAGGTTTCTTGGGTTGTGTGGACATGAGTGTCGTCCAGCTCATTGGCAAGTAGCTGTTAATCCCTGAGGAGGAGCTGATTGAAAGTTTGGTTAGAGATTTTGTTAATTTGTCCTTGAAGGAATTTTAAAATAAAAAGAAGGAAGGGACAGAATAAAAAGACCCCAACTAGAGGTCCCAGTATTGGGAGAATCCAGTGGCTGACAGGGTTTGTGTAGAGGTCCCAATAGGATTGTTGTGCCAATTGCTGCTTTCTTTTTTCTAGTTATTCCTGTAGTTGTTTAATCTTATCTTTCACTATCCCTGACTGATTAACATAAAAACAACATTCTTCCTGTAAGAATAGGCAGAGGCCTCCTTTCTCTGCTGTGAGTATAGCTAAGCCTCGGCAGTTTTGTAGGACTACTGCTGCTAGGGAATCTAATTGATTTTGGAGAGTAAGTATGGACTCAGTCACCTGTTGGAGGTCATCTATGAACAATTTGGACAATTGATCACAGTATGTGAGGGAGGTAGC